TAATAAAAATTTTTATATTTAAATAAATCTTAATATTTAATAACTTAATTAAATAAGATAGAATTAAAATTTTATTTGAAAAAATAGTTTATTAATATTTATTTAATATATTAATATTTTTTATATTAAACTATATATAATTAGATTTTTTATAATTAGATTTTTTATAATTATAACTTTTTATAATTATATTTTATAATTATTTTTAAGTTTTTTATTAATTAGAAAAACTTTTATTATTATAACATGTACAAAACCCAAATATGGGGAACGCTAAAGCAAGGTAGTTTTCACGTGATTTGATTTTATACGCAAAAAATTTGAACACGCTAAAGAGCCAAGACTAATTGTTTACGTTACACTCGATCACGTGAAAATACGCATCCCCAAATATGGAAAAACAGACTGATAAAAATCGATCAATTAGAGATTAACTTTTTACGCATTCATTAAATCAATCGCTCCACTAAAATGACGAACTCTGCGGAAGAGTTATTCTCAAAAGAAGCCTTCGGTATGTCTAAAAGCTTTATCATTCATACATCATTTACAGTTATTCTGATTGTGTTCACATCGACATTTACAGATTTTTCCGAATACTTTATTGAAAGGAAGCCAAACGAATGGAAAGAGCTTGACTTCGTTAAATGGCTGAATGAAAAGGAGTATAAACTAGTTCACACAAATTTACCAATCCAAGAACGAAAAGGAAAATGGCATGTCTATTTAAGAAATCTCTAGAAATTGTTAGATCTCGGTGTAAGAGCTTTTTGGAACAGGCGACAACCAATGACCAGGACCACTTGAAATCTTTTGCCAAAACTGCATTAAAGTCTGTAAGTTATCAACGAAAAAATTTGGTAAGTTTATTTATGTCAGATAAAAGAAGTGAACTGCAACTGAACAGGCCTTAACGGAAGTTCAGGCGCAAGACATCTCTATAGCCACACGTTATAGAGACATGGCTAGCTCCATATTGGATAGCCGTCTTGAGTATGCAGTAAATGTTGTAACTGAACAGGCCTTAATGGAAGCTCAGGCTCAGGACATCTCTTGTAGCCACACGTCACAGAGGCATGGTTAGCTCCATATTGGATAGCCGTCCTGAGCATACAACCACTTTACAACTATTCTGTAAAGTTATAGTGACATCGTAAATTAAATTGTTATATAATGTTAAACTAAATTAATTCTTTTCCTATTTTTTATTTTGAGACTAAAATTCCGAGTAACGTTTCTGAATGGTGGGAACATGTTACTACACAAATGGAACTTAAGAACACCAAAAAACTCGAAAAATTAGTTATGGCTAAAGACTCTCTATCTCAGGTTAGTTGAAATGGGCGTGTTTGCGAAAGTATTGAAATAGATTCACTTAAAGCAGAACAACTTCTAAATAGGTCGAGTGGACAGCAAGTCGAAATGAGAGAACAAGAAAGAGATTTTTGGAAGTAGATACATTAGATGAAAATGATTTGAAACATGTGAGTAAATACATTTTCTTTAACTGTAGCCTGGGAATTGACAGAACTAATTATTTTTATTTCAATATTTTTAGGATGAAAAGATTTCCAAAAAAATCTGTCAAAGCACCAATGAACTACTACTAACTCCCGTAAAATTATTTTTCCATTATGTTTTTATCTCATCATGTGCAGTAAATTTATTGTTTTTATAATTTAGGCCTTGGACGGTGGCAACAATGACAAAAAAGAGATCGTCCCTTCAATCAAGCATAATCTTAGAAAGATTGAGAGAAAAAATTATGCTGAAAACACTTCATCAGCTGACGAGTTAGATTTGGATCATCTGGAGGAAAAGATAGTTGTAAGCAATAAAAAAAATATATTATGGATCTGATTAAAAAATTATGTTTAATCTAAAATTTTCATAGGGCGAATTAAATTCTGAGATATCTATCTATGAGGACGATGATGAAGAAAATTCTTTAGATGGCAGTTCTGAAGAAGAAGATACAGCCGAACTTGCAAATGTGTCATTTAATTCTTTTGTTGGTTCAAAAACTGATAGCAAAAATTATAATTGGAAATTAAAAAATAATGAAAGCGTAAGAGGTCGGCTTATAAATATGACAAAAGAAGCGATTGAAGAAGCAAAAAAAACTGAAAAAGTAGACTCGAAACTAATGAGTGTTATAAGGTAAAATATGATAATAATATTATTATTGATAATACTTTAATTTATTAATTACTTGATAAACGTATGTACAGGTTGGGACTGTCATCCATCATAGATCTTTCGTCGGAAGTCAAAGGAGGCATGCACTCCTGGTTCGGGGCAATTGGATACCATTAAAGAATGAAGTGTTATCAAAAATCAACTTGAAAGTTGAAAGGTTCACAGGAGAAGTATCAGAATTAATCACAAAAGTAGAAAATGTAAATAAATTATATTATCTGTCGAAATTATTATTACCGAATGTGATAACAATTCTTATGCTTTTCACTACATTATACATTTAGCTATGTGATTCATATGACTATTTGGGGGCACGAAAACTTGTATTAGAAAAAGTAATGGAACGACCCATTGATAGTCAAATGAGACAAGTTTCTAAAATATATTTTAATATGTATGTTATTATATACTGTATATATATTTTGTGATCCTTTTTTTTGATTTGCTATTCACCAAATTAATTGAAACTTTATTTTTTTAGCATTGATTTATTTTTAGAAAATCCCTATATTTTCATCAAAAGAGATGGTCGGCCCCAAAACCATACAGAAATCCAATATGTAACAATTTTATCAGGCCCTATTTTAGACATAATATTCTCAGATCAACGAGATCATGTTAGATTGATATGGTAAATATTTTTATTAACTTGGAAACGGTTATCAATTGTGGATCTGACAAATTGTTTTACGAATTTTTCAGGGGAGAATCAGTTTCACAAGTCACTAATGATTCAAGAAGAAAGATTGATCTTTGTATAAGAACTGAGGATGGCACCAAAGAGTTGAGCCATTCCGAATGTGCTCGGGAAGCTACATTTATAAAAATTTTAAAAGACCGCAGTAAATCTCTGAGAACTAATAAATGTATACTCAACAACTACCTTGAAAACAATATTCTTGATGAAACTTTAGAAGATACAGCAATTTTCGGGTTACAGTTGGCAGGTAAAATCACAGCATCATTAAATATCACGCGTTATGCATATTTCTTAGAATTTATCATTTTCACGTCTCTAATAATATATGTTTTAGCTTTGGAAGGTCAATTAATTGGAATTGATTTATTGGATGAAGGACTTTATTTTGGATTTGATGGACCAGCTTTTAGGTTTCCCGCACAGATTTGTAGTATTGGTGTCTTAAGACAAACATTAGAGGTTTTTTATTGTTTTAAGGTAGGCAAATTTGATCTTTTTTGAAGTCCTATGCTTAGCGATTATAAAATGCTTATGAGGACTCAATGGATAATAGGAGAAAGTCATCAAAAAAGCAAAACATTTACTTCAGAATTCAAGCGAAAATAAGATTACCAAACTTCTACATTCCGAAAATATCGAAAGGTCAAATCACTGCAAAATCAATTATACCCGGGAAACTTATTTTGAACCAAAACAAAAATCTTTAGTCAACGAATCCAAAAATTTATATGTTAAATTTAAAAACAAATAGTGTTCCATTTATTTTAACTACGAAAAATATGTCTTGATTTTCGGGTTATCATTTCTCATTAGTAGTTTAATCAAAGTTCATATGCTACAATGACTTTGCATTTCCCAGATCATCGCGATCATTGACTTTTTATGAGATCGTCAAATTAAGGGGTGTTTTACCGGATGCAAACGCAGGCAAAACCTGACTCATGCTAAGTAGTTAACCAAAAAAATAACGAAAATGGATTTGGCTTTGGAATAGGTTTAATGGTCCTGGACGGTATAAAATACTTCGTTTTTTTCTCTTGTAAGGTGGGTACCAATAACATTTTTAATGCTAATTTGAAGTAATGTACCGTCGTTCAATATACTGCTATTAATTAAGACTATAAAAACATATTTACTTACTGCGAACTTTGTATTTAGGACCGTAAAAATGAGCAGTACTAACAATAGTGCCATCAAGACTAACGAAACCAATATCCCCGAGAGCAACGATAATAATACCTCCCAAAGTAGGAATATTTCTTTCAATGCCTCCAGAACCGTCGTTCAAACACCATCTAATACAAGATCTAGCCAAAGAACATCCAATTCTAATCGTCAACGTAATACTGGGAGAAATAAGCGTGGTGAGTAGACTCGTTACATACATATGAAGTTAAAAAATATAATTTAGATAATCCGGACTATGAACCTGAAGATGATGACAATTTTCATGCAAGAAATCCTCTTTATTACGTTTCTAGAGAATATGCACAATATTGTTTAGATAATGATGATCATTCTCGTTTAAGTCGTAGGGACGCATTAAATATTCTAGATCAATAGTATCTGATTCATAGTGGAGCTGAATCAAAGCTCTTATTTTTTTATTTGTATAACCGTCGTTTGATAATTTTTTTAAAATAAAGAGATCCTGCTATATATGCGGATTTAACGTGTCATCGCTCTTTCAAGGCTTTTGTTATATGATATTATTTACGTTTAAATATTCTCTCAACTCTGCGTGATCGAACACTCCAGTCATATTACCAGTGAATTTATTCATAACTTTAATAAAACTAGTCCCAGGATCGTATATATGCTCATATTTATCGGTATTGAGCAGTTGTAAATATTGTTTTGGATTATCAGTGAATTTGCCCATCGTTTTACGCTGATTATTTCGCCCATCTTAACATATGCTTCTAATTTTCTCGATTCAAATTTTTCTCTAGATAAATCAAAATCGATAATAGGGCGAAGTGGGTCATCTCCGTCAATAAATTCATGCAATGAATGGCCTGTACGTTCTGTAAGTATTGCTTCTATTCCATCCTCAGAATCTGTGCCAAGGAATTGTCTTGGTCTTACGCTATCATCGCGAATTTTATATAAATATTCAGCTACACTCTCAGCTTTGGCCCCCCAGTGGTAGAACGCCCCGCTATTTTCTATTGCAGAGCCTTCCTCTATCTCTGGCACGAAATCTGAATAACCGAATCACACTCTCCCAATCGAAAAAAAGTCAAACCGAGATACCAGAAAGATCTTGTGATAAGAGGCGAGGGAATATTGGTAAGTAATTATTTAACGTGGGCTAGTACGTTTGTGTTAATCTTTTCATTGTGTTACATACATTGTTAAAATCGCTAATTATGATCGCTACTTCTTTACAGATTTATCGCGTGCCAGACGTGGGTTGAAAGCAGAGGATCCACTACCTGATGGGGTATAATTCGATACTTATATAGCGAAAATAATTATGTAGATTTAGCGGTTTTAAAATGTAAATATCAGTTGATCGCTGGTTGAATAAAGATTTTCGTGTAAATATGATGATTTCTGATTCGCGAATTTAAAACACACGACATCGCTCCACTGAGGCTCATTATAACGTCATGTGATTTCGAAGTTACGATGTGGTTACACCACTTTGAATTTTCTCAATATTCTCCAAAGTGCTCAGCCTTTCTACTAACTCATCTAATGGAAGATCCAATCCACATCTTCTGGTTTCTATCTGATTCTCAGGTGACAATCCATGAAGAAATTGATATTTAAGCTGATTTTCATTATATTCAGCTAATTTATCATATTTTTTTACTTTTATGTAATATTTCATTATTGATTTCTCCTCTTGTCTCAAATCTCCAAATTGAAACTTTTGAATATCAGTAGGTCCAGTTGAGATTCTATTCAAGTGATCAACTATTTCATCCAGAGACTTTTTAAAGCCAAATTTAATTACTTCTTTTTTATTATCTTGTGATAGGTTATTAAAGAAAGTTTTCTTAAGATCTTGATTATCTAAGTCAATATCTACAGACTGATTGAGTTATGTTGGTGGTGAAATTTTTGGTCTAATAACTAATTGTATATCAGTTTCATCAAGCAATATAAGAGTTTTATTTGAAAAGTCCACTTTTATTGCATTTTTCTGGAATCATGACTAACCTAATATCAGTACAGAATCAAGTTCAGGTTTATTGGTAATGAAAATATCAGTAGCTTTTACTTATTTCTATTTAGAGCTCTGAAATAGGATTGAAATAGAGATTTCATGAATTACTTCTACTACATTGAGTTTACCAATAGATGTGTATACTTCTATATTAGAGATATTATTGATTTCTAAATCTAATTTATTTATCACATTCTCAGCTATAATATTACAATTGCTAGTGATATCTAATATAGTTTTAACTGGTACTTTATTAATTTTGCAAGATAAAATTCTCATCATGTTTTATTATAATAATATAATTAAATATATTTTTTTCTGTATATTAATAATAAATCAATTAAAATCTAATGGTTAACAATAGTTATGAAATAGTTATCTCTGATAATAATAGCTTGAAACTAGTATCTAAAATTATTAAATAGATATAACATAAAAGAATTTTAATTTCTCTTTACCAATTACTGAAAATAGTAAAACCTGAGATTGAATTAGAGATTATTGACTTAATAATGAATCTGAATATTTCTTGAAGAAATTATACACTATATAAGACTAAAAGAAAAAAAAATAAATTTTAATGATACCATATCTGAATCCTCATCTTTATCTGAATCTAGTTATAAATAGTCTAATAATAAAGATTTTACTATAAATATATGATGAAAGTAAAGAAGCATAATTAGTTCTTATCATCAGAAATTTCTCTGTATAAATTAATAATATCCTTGATTTCATTATTTTTTTATTTAGATGCTAGAGTATTTGGTCTGTTATTTATTATACCATAATATTCAACTGATAAAGCATGACCTATTTTATATTTACATATCAATTATCATAAATTTTGACAGCTAGTATTATTTTTACCTTCATGTACTCTGGAAGCATGATCAGCTCCTATTTTTTTTAATATAGATGAAGTAATTTTATGATATCTTAAGAATTGATTAAGTGAAACTACATTAGTATTATCATTTTTATCTTTTAACAAGAAGGGAAATTTGTCTAATATTGATCTTTGAATTTAGATGAGTAATTCTCTTACTCATATTAGATTTTTTTCTATTGAGAGAAATAGCTAGGATTCTCCTACTTTATCTTTATTTTTCACATAATCTGTATAATACACAGAATAATCAGAATCATATCATGACTTATGACTTGATTTATATCAATTGATATGAAGATTTTTTACATCTGCTGATTGTATACTTAACATTACTATTATATCTATTAGATTTTGCATTAAAAAAGGCTTGATAATATTATATTTATTAAGTCTTTTCTGAACTTTTTCCAGATAAAAGAACTCAAAACAATTGTAACTATTAATTTTGTAAAGTATATATTTTCTTGCTTGAATTTGATTTGCTTCTTTAGTAATAAAGAGTATTTTCATTATCTCAGTAATAAGATAATTAGCTTTTAAGCTATATAATTCTTTCCATAATAAATTAAGACAAGAATTTCCTATAATAATAGTAGGAATAGAAGAAGTCAAGTCATATGCTATTTCATTTATCTCTTCAGATGAGAGATCATTTTTTATAATATCTTAAGCAATAATTTTGATAAGATTTCTTTTTTTAATATATCTTCCAGGAGCTCAAATGGAGATAAGAGTATCAGCTTATTTCTTATTTAATTCTAATTCTTGAAAGCATCTTTTGGCCTGATCTTTGGCTTTTTGGACCTGCTCTTTTGTTTTACTAGTTAAAAGTTTATTAGTCAACTCTTTGGTATAACTACTAAGCTGGAGTAAACTAGTTTGAGAAGTCAATTTGTAGTAATTTACAAATAATATAGTGATTTTTGTCATGATTAGTATATGTTAATTGAGATATTTTATATAGACTACTTTTATCTGATATATATTATGAAGATTTTTTTTTCAAATCAAAATTAATTATTATGAGTTGATATATATACTCAAAATTGAATAGATTACTATTAGAGTAATCTTATCAGAAAATAGATGTGAACAAGATACAAGTTCAATTAAAAATCTTGGAATCCATAGCTTTACATAATAAAATTATCAAAAATATAGAAGATATCAAAGAGAATATAATATTACTTAAATATATAAGTACTATTTTTCCAAAATAAGAGATCCTGAAAAAAATAATTAATATATACATATGTCAGATATATAATTAAACTTCATATATAGAATCAGAAAAGTCAGATATATAATTCTTAAATATAATAATTTGTGCATATAACTCATCCTGCTTTTTTTTATGATAATTCTCTTTACTTTTATATTTTTTTATGTATTTATTATATGCATTATATTTAGATCTATTTGACTCATCACAATCTTTGCAAGGAGTAGATATTAAAAAATTATGATGAATATAACATCTTTCTAATTTACTATATCAATCACAGATTTTTCCAGTTCTATGAATATATAAGCAATAATATAATATTATTATGATTATATATAATAATTACTTCAATCAAATATATAATTTTTTTTGGCATCTGACTAAAATTTCTAAAATAATTAATTTTATTTTAAAGATTTATTTACCAATTAATATAGTTTCAAAATATATACTTTTTGTCAGATCAAATAATATGCATATACAAATAATGCATATATATAAATCAATAAAATGAGTTTATCTAGTAAAGCAAAAAAACATCTTCATGAATTATTATAGTAATAATACTTAAATCAAAAGTTAGCTAAATATAATGAAGCAAAAAGGCTTTTTATGAGTTTAACAGATCTTGACTATAAATCTAGTTATAAAGAATATATATTTTATAAATACTGACTTGTATCTAATAGTTATACTGATAAAAATGATACTGCACTTTTAAATGTATATTGACCTGAAGAGATTTATTCTTAATATATAATTCAGATGGCAAAAAAAGATTATACAATGATTAATTATCCTAGTAAAGTTTATAGAATATCTGATACTCATGAATGTATTAATAGTAATCAGTCTCTTTGTTTAATTATTGATATTAATGCAAGACAAAAGCCTGATCCTACAAATTTTAAAATACCTTTCTTAGATGATAAAAAAATTATATGAGAAGATTTATTATCTCAAATTTTAGTTGCTTGTGCAGATGCATTAAGCCTTATTTCTGATTGTATATCTTTCTTAAATTCTTTTACTTTAGCAAGTTTATTAAATACTAAGAAATATAGTTGGCATATTATTTATTCTTGTACCTAATTCATAGATTATAAAAAACTTAAGTGATTTACAGAAAAAGTTATAGAATTAGTTAGAGAATCTTATTTGAAATTTATTGATTATAGCCTTTTTAAAATATATTTTAATCTTTGACTTCTGAAATCAGCTAAGAAATATCATATTAAAAGATCTGCTATTTCTTCTGTTAAAAATAA